TCCGGCTTTACCGGGGGTGCTGCCCGGAGCATCCCCTGCCGGCCCTCGCGGGCCCGTGGGTCGCAGTGCGGGGAGGGCAGGGCGTGCTGCCCGCGCAGCACCTGCTCCGAGCCTCAGGCTCGCCCTGGATGTGCCTTCACTGACAGCATTCCCTGGCTCAGCCCCAGCTCTGCACATCCATCGCCGTGCCATGGCAATGTAGATCCCAAATTTTTCACTGTGCTATCGGGTGTTCCACACTGTTAATCGGCTACACTTTTATCTGACCATTTATCCCCCCAGTGTTGTTGTCATCACTTCATCCTCCTTAAATTTCTTGCAACGTGTCCCAGTGCCACCTCGTTAGGGAAAAAAAGACTTAAATCCCTAAGCTCAGAGCCAGAACCTTTCAATCTGATCAATCCATGTTTAAACTTCTCTTGTTTGCAGGGTGAGCTAAGGATTCCTGGGCTAAACTCAGCTCAGGGAACAGTCAGAACTCCACACATTCCAGGAAATCCCTGGATAATGTTCAGATGGTCAGAGAGCACCCAGGAGGTCATAGAGAAAGGGACAATAGTCATATTGAAATCAAAGAAGAACTAGTTATTAAAATACTCTTCAAATGTGTTGACTGCCTCTCTTTTCTTCATTTTGTGCTATTCTTACATCTGGATTTATTACAGAACAGCAACTCAAAAACACTTAAGTGGAGTAATATCTCCCATAAATTTATAAACTTGACTGATTTAAGTTGCCAAATGTGTTTTATCAAGTCAGTTTATAGAAATATTAGCAATTCCTCTCTGTATGATTTCAATATTTCACAGCATCTAAAGACAGGAAGGAAAAAACATCTTCAAAGAAGTCAACTATGGTTATGTTACATCAGGGAAATACATTACTGGACCCTGTGACATGCTCAATACTTGCAGACATCTCACTGCTCTACCAAAATGATTTATTTTTCTTCCCAATAAGCTGAAACACAAATACACTTTGCATCTTTTTTTTCCTCTGTAGGGCTGAGTGTTTACTTGCCCACAAAACCCCTATTAGGTTGAGGGTTTATATATCTCAGGGAAGAGAACAGCATCAGGTTTTAGTGTGCCTTAGGAAAACCTATTTGGAACACAAGGATGAAACTAAGGAGCAGAAAAAATGACTTAAAAGAGTGTGTGAATTTAGAGAAGACTTTTGGCCTTGGTCAGAGCCAAGGGGAGGTGAAAAGGGAAGGTGTTTGGAAGCATGGTATAAGGTGTAAAGTTTAGGGGAGGTGAAAAGGGAAGGTGTTTGGGAACATGGTATAAGGTGTAAGGTTCCAGCTGTAAATTGTAACTTCAATCCTCCTGCAGTCGCTGAGCTGTGCGTCTGTGACCTGCTGGTGGCACAGTGTGATGTCAACTGCTGCTGCGACCCTGACTGCAGTACAGAGGACTTCAGCCTCTTCACCACCTGCTCCATCCCCCTTGTCACGTAAGTGCACCAGTGCCTACACCAGGCTTGGCTTAGTTCTGCAGTTCCTTTGTCAGGGCTCTGTCCTTTCCTCTTCCAGTCCCTAGCCCCTCCCTGCTGCCATCCAGACTCCCCTTCCACCAGTCCTTCCTGCACTAAGCCTGTGAGGTTTTGCCCCCAACCAGGTAAAAATAGTAATGGGCCTCTCACCTATTTCTTGCCAGGTACAACAGTAATTGGTCTCTCACTCTTTTCTCTTTTACTCATTCCCTCTTTCCCAAACTCCTTGCTTTCCTCCCATTTCACTGTGTCTGGGGGCACTCAGACCTTGTCTTGGGGGAAGAAAGATGCATCTTTAGGCTTTTATCAGCACAATGCATTGCCTGGAAGGCAGGAAAAGTGATACCTTGGGCCACACCTGTAGGTGATCAGCAATTTATCATTCGCCTCTTTGATTACATTTATGATTCCAGGTAGAGATTTGGTCAATCCAGGGCTTGTTGGAGCACTGTGAGCATTGTTCTCATCCTGATGTTAAAGTCACCACCTCACCCTGCTGCCTCACTGTCACTCACAAGCACCAAAGCATAGCGTCATACCAAGAAACTAAACCCAGTAATTGTTTCTTTGCTGTTTAGTTTACTTAAAAACATCTTCACCCAATTTAATGTTCTCAAAAAGGAGTTAAGAAAGCTCAAAATCTTCGTGTGAGCAAATCTCTGGGTGACTGCTCTGAACAATGAGTGCAGCTCTCAGCCCACCTGCTGTATAAATTATGCCAATCTGAGCTCTGGGGTTTATTCCTGGGGCTCTGAAATTTGAATTAGCAGTCGTGCCAGACTGTGGTTTCTCATTGTTCTGGCACACAATGACTCCTGCTCCCCTTTCAGAGATATTTATATCGATCAGAAAGGTCTAATCAACATCTTCCTGAGTGACACACTAATTATCTCGGGTGACTGTTCTGTCTTTGGCAACTAGAAATGCCTAAAATGAAGTTGTGTTTCTCTCCCCAAATTCTTTTGTGTGAAAGGCTCATTTTGCATGAGAATCCAGGGCATTTTCAATGCCTGCAACTACTGTGGATCTCATTGTTTACTTCTAGGTTTGTATATATTTGCATATTTGTGTTAGTTACTGAGAGGGTTTGGTTCATCCCGAGGCAGAGGCTGTGTGGTCCCTGAAACAGCAGGCAAAGGCTTTGATTTACACTGTGATCCTACTAGCAAATGATTCACCTCATGGAAGAGTTTATCTCCAGGATTAAAAAGTAATTTTAAAAGTTATTTCTCTTCTTTGGTGCCTGTCCTTGGCTGCTCCAGCCCTGCTAAACACCAGAGTCACAGGGATCATCCTGCTGCCTTTATAGCACGTGGGACACACCAGTGCTCTCAGGGGCTGAACTGGCACATTCCCTGTGCAGAGCTGTTGGTCAACCCATCCACAGCCTCAGACACTTCTCCTAGACCTGCTGAGTGGTTTCACCTCCTGTTCCTCACTCTGCCATTGCTTCCACATGCATCTCAAGTAGGACTTTCCCCACTCCTCCCCTAAAGTGAATGTCATAGTACCTTAAGGGGTTGGAATAGACCTTAGAGCTCACCCAGCCCTGGGCAGGGACACCTCCCAGCAGAGCAGGTTGCTCAAGGCTTTAGCCAGCCTGGCTGTGAACACTGCATTGGAGCTGTGTGTGGCCTGTGGTGCAGCTCTGGTGCCTCACACCACCAGGATCCCTTCCAGCTTGGCATTTTAGCCCTACCATTACCACTGTCATGTTCTTCCCTTCCCCTTGATCTGCTTCTTCCCTTCCTTCATGTTGCTGCTGTTTCCTCTGCTAGTAAAACAAGTGGGATAATTCTCCATTATTTATCATCAAGCATTGTTTATAACAACAGAAGCATTTAGGGATGCACAACTGCTATAGAAATTGTGCTAGAAGCAGTAATTTCATGCTTTTTTATCTGATTTTTTTTTTTTATGCTGCCTTAGCACGCGAAAAGAACTTTAAAATCTGGTCAATACTAACATCTAGTGGATCACTGATCTGTTTTTGCTGTTTGCAGAGGTGACAGCAACTTGTGCAGGCAGAAAGCTGCAGTGTATTCTCTTGATGTTGAGGCAAATCCACCAGCAAGGATATTCAGACTAACTGAGCAAGTCAACCCCAGCATATTCTGCATTCATGCTACAAACTGTAAGTGGAGTTGTTGCCCATGTTCAGCATTGTGATGTTGTTTTTTGTAAGCTCTTCAGGTACCAAAACAAGGTTAAATTTAAAACTATTTTTATCTTATTACTAGATGTATATATACTATATTTATTGTGTATAATTTATTTAATAGTTACCTATTCTAGTGATCCTGTCTGCTCACAGTCCTGAGGTTGTGATCCTTTCACTTGTGACACTGTGGGGTTAAATCATCTCATGCTCTTAGTCTTCTCTGTTGGCAAAAATTAGTAGTGCTTTAGGGGTTTTTTTTAGGTAAATAATTTAGCATCCCAAATAAATCAATCACATTCAAAGTTGTCTCATGGGAAACTGACTTCCAAATCTGATCCCAGGGGTACAGATCCTTTCTGAGTGACTTGCAGGGCAGCAAGGAGTGCTCAGTCCTGTATTACCTTAATCTGAGTGTGCAGTAGCCACCTGAGTGCTCAGCATGGAAACTGCAGACACCAGTGGATGTCTGTCTGTTTGGAACATGCTGCTGGAAACCAGGAGCTCAAGGGATGTACCTCTTTCCTTAACATTCAGTTTGTGCTTTCATGGATCTGAGTGGAATGATTTGAGATGGTTCCTAGGTTCCCTCCTAAAGAAAAGAGAAAACTGTTTTGATATTTTTCTCTCTGAGTTTTTAGTCACACCAGAAGGAAAAACTGTTACTAAATCCTGTTTCTGTATCTTCTGTCCTGAAAGTTGTCTCCTTCTTTGAACTGTTGTCCAGACAAACAAGCTCTCTACCTCAGGACCCCCGAGATGCCAACTCCTGAAAACTTTGATCAGCTGCTCCAAGAGTTTGGAAGTGCTTCTTTCAGTGCTGAGCCTGACAGCTGGAATGTGGGCACAGATGCTCCAAGCCCTCCCGATGCCAATGAGACTCACAGATATGAGGTAAAGAATATCTGACTCAGATGAGGTAAATACAGGTGTGATGTAAATGATACCTGATTGAGGTGAGGTGAAAAATGATCTGATTTCTATGAGGTAAATAATTATCTGATTCAGTTAGTATTAGATTGTTCCTTAAGGAACAACTGAGGATTGTTTGCATCTGCTTTCAAATAAAGCAGTTCTGAAGGAGACTAACTTTATTTTGGTCTTTAGAGACAGAAATGTAAAAACAAGTGCAGTGTCTTGTGTTACCTAAAAAGTGACTTAGTGAAAAATGATCTGATTTCTATGAGGTAAATAATTATCTGATTCAGTTAGTATTAGATTGTTCCTTAAGGAACAACTGAGGATTGTTTGCATCTGCTTTCAAATAAAGCAGTTCTGAAGGAGACTAACTTTATTTTGGTCTTTAGAGACAGAAATGTAAAAACAAGTGCAGTGTCTTGTGTTACCTAAAAAGTGACTTAGATTTTTAATATCTTTGAAAAAAGTTGGTTTTCTGGGGCTATTTTAAGCACAAAACTGTTGGCAGTGGCTCAAGAACTGCTGCACACAGTGGTAAATAGTATTGACATGTAGAGTGGAAATAAATGCTCCTTTTGTTCAGACTGGTTGTTACTACAAACGCTGTCACACACCTGTCTGTGCTTTCCTTTGGCAGTTTGGGGTTCCTGTGCAGACAGAAGATGCATTTCTAAGACTGCCCAGTGCTGTTGTCTCCTCCTGGTGCTCTGATGCCAATCCTGCAGGTTGGAAAGTGCACTGGAATTCCAGTTTCTTTGCTTTAGAGTACCCTGCTGTGCCCTGAGGTTAATCAGGCAGAAGGTGGCACACACCCACAGTGACTTCAGATAAAGGCTCACAAGCAAACAATTTTCAAGTTTTCTGGGTTCATGTAAGACAGAGAATGGAAGTTGTGTTGCATCTCTAGTAAACATTCCAAGTTAGGTACACAACTCCCTGACCATCTTGTTAATGTGTTGTTTATCCAACAATAAAACATCCTGTTTGGCATAAATGGTTCAATAAACCAGTCCAAGGGTGACACTGTAAGGGAAGGGAGCACTGCAGAGCCAGCCCTGACTGGGCAGCCTGTGTGAGCTGTCCCTTTGGCCCAGGAGTTCCTTTCTCGAGTCAGACTTGCAGCTTGTGCTCTACATTTTAACCTTTCACACAGTTTGCTGACACTCTGCAGAGCCACAGAGACAAAAGCCACAACCAAACCCACACACCTTTCCAAGCCTCACCAGCATTAAAGGTGCTAAACCCACACACCTTTCCAAGCCTCACCGGCATTAAAGGTGCTCTCAGAGCACTCACAGTGGTGATTATAGAACTGAAGTCTCTTGTGAAAGAAAATATCTCAGGAAAATGAGGTAATACATTTTCTAGCTCTTAGGAAGCTTCTCCTTGTTAAGAAGTAGTATTTTACCTCATAACATTTTTGGAGACTCTAAGTCTCATTCTTTGTACCTCCTACAAATCTTTATCTTCAACAGAGATTATGTTGACTTTTGCTTATATTTGATCTTATACTGATTTTTGTTTCTGCTTTTCTTAATTACTCTGTAATTTCCTTCAGTAATACTTGCTGACTTCTTTTCTTCCAGGGTTTTTAGTGAACCAGGCTACAAAGTGCATTAGATCAGTGAGTGTGGAGGGATGTGAGAGCATTCCAGCACTCAGCATGCTGTTCTACATCAACTCCAGCATCCTGGCAGTGAGTAGGACTTGAAAAGTCTGTTCTGTATCTTTTTGCATCTGCAGAATGAGGTTCTGTTTACTGAAGGCTGTGTTGTTTCATTTGGACTCTGGAGTTGTGGGTTGGGAAAACCTCTCTATACACCAGATTTCTGCAGAAAGTCTTTGGCAATGTTTTTACTTCAGGCTTTGATTTATTTACAGTATTTACTGTTTTCTGCTTAGCCAAATACAAATAATACAGTCAAAGATAATAGAAGAATATGTATAAGATAGTCCTGGAGAGCTCGTGGCACTGAGGCAGCACTCACTGTGGTGTGATGCTCCTGTGTGTGCTCAGGCTTTCCCAAGAAGCCTCTTACCACAGTGCATATTTCTGAGAAGTTTTACAGAGCTGTTAAAACTCAGTACTTAGGAAAGAACCTGTAAAGTTTAATCCCCTGCATCTGTCCCTTCCCTACAGTTTTGGATAACAAGGTACTGCACCCCCTGCTCAGCCTTCCTTGGGCTCCTCAAAGGACAGGACTGACCCCACTGAGAGCAGATCTGGTGGATCCAACCTGCTGTCAGCTCCAGGCTGTGGTTGTTGTTCAGAGCTAAGCCTAGTTTTTCCTTCCTCTTTGCCCTGCAGGATGATGTCTCATGGATAAATAGTTCCCCTTTACAGATAGGGCATAGCAATCCTACATGCAGAACTGAAACACTTCTTACCTTAACCTCCTGACTGCTTCCAGAAGCTGAAGGTCACCCAGAAACAACATCCTCTCCACCTCTGAGATGTTTCTTATTTATATAATTACTTAAATTAATGTAATTGGCTGCCTAAAGGCTCCTTCCAGTCTCCTCACAGATCCCAAAGCTCCCAACAGGAAAGGAGAGGCCTCTAAGCAGTTCAGTTCTCACAGGTGGGATCATTCTTGTCGAGGACCTCCCTGAAATCAGCTATGGATTGCTCACATATGTGGGGTTTTCATCATCCCACTGTGCCTCAGAAGGGCTTTGGGTGTTTCCATGTCCCCCAGATTAGAGTTCCTGGTGGCTGCAGGGCCAGAAGAGAAAAGGCATAGCTCAGGCCATCCAAGCAGCTGAGTGCTTTGGAATTCACAGCTGAATTCCTCTTCCTCCCTGGAACATAACAGGTTACCCATGTGCTGCTTCCCAAGACAAGGGCTCAGCTTAGGAGAGGTCAGATTTCTGTCCAGAGCAGGTTGGATGGCAGGAAGGATCAGATGTAGGAGCTGGAAAAGGCTGAATAGATGCTGGAGACACCCTGCAGGAAGATCCCCGACCCAAAGGGAGCTAAGATGGGATGTGATAACAGAAAAGAGACTTGTTCTGGGGGACAAGCTGGTCCCAGGGCAGAGCAGGAGCTCTCCCAGTGCCACCAGGTGGAGCTGCGGCAAAACACATGGCAAACCAGTAACCCGGGGAGGCTTACTGGGAGGACTGGTACAGCAGGTCCTTCGGAAGGCCCCGGCCCACGAGCCCATCCTCACTGCCAGCCTGGCAACCACGGCGAGAGGACATGGTGATTGCTGCAGCTCATCTCTGCTCTCTGCCCTGGGCTGACCAGCACATCCTTGGATTCTTGGAATCCTTTCCAGGATGCTCTGATGCTTCACACCGTGGTCTGTGTGTGCTGTGTAGCTGCCAAAGCAACACGCTGTGCCTCCCTGCGGTGGGAAGGTGAGGCAGTGGGAGCAGCAGTGAAGCTGCAGTGCTGTCTGCCAGTGGCCTGCAGAGACACCATCCATCCCCCACTCAGGGATGAACAGGATTTCAGGAGTGCTGCTCATTCTCTACCCTGGGCAGGCAGAATGCTTCCCTGAAGGGCAAGTGTAACCTTCAGGAGCACCTTTGTTCACTCAGCTGATCCTGATGGCTGAGCTGTACCTTGGGGGGATAAATACGTGCCAGACTCTACCTGCATCACCTCCAGCTCTCAGGAGTGTGTTCTCTGCTGTGATGTTGGATGAGTCACTGCTCCCTGGATCTGTCAGGATCATGCACAATTGCTTCATGGGCAGAGGCCAATTCTTGGTCCCTTCCCAAAGAGGTGACTCAAACCCTCATTGGGAAGTCAGGAAAGTGACAGAATGATGCTCTGTGTGGGCATTGTGAGGGGCTGAGTGATGACCTTGATGCCACATTTCTGCCTCCCCATGACAACTTACCAGTGAGGCAGCTGTTAGCCACATGCTGTGTGACAAGAGGGATACTTGCTCCTCATTTCTTTGTTGAGAGACCATGAAACCATGGACTTCTGACCGTCAGAACAGGATGACAGGAGCTCTTCATTTCCTTGGGAAGCACAGCCTGGCTGACTGCCCAGACTGGTGGTCTGTGAATGGTTCACGAGTCAGAGCAAGGAGAGGATTGGATTGTAAGGTTTTTCCTGCTAGCCACAGAGAACAGCAGTTATTGTCACACTTGCTGGATGCTCTGGTGGACATCCAATCACCTCCACAGTCCAGAGTTATTGTGATGAGAGAGTTAAATAGGCAAATGAATTAGGCCTTAACTGCTACTTGCAATAGGTCATACCTTGGCTACTGTTTGACTTTGTTCTTTTGTTCTTCCCCAGGTGCCCAAATCAAGTCAGATGGTAAGTGTCCTTCTTAGCTGGAAGAGCTGGGGGCAAAATTCTTGCTCAGTTTTAGTCAGTGGGAGTTTCTCACTGACTTCATCAGAAGACACTTTATCCTTATCATTAACAACTTTCTGTCAGTAATGACACTTAGCCACTCCTGGATAATGTGCTGCCTGCAGACATTCAGGCCTGATGCATTCCCCTCAGAGAAAACTCTCTCTTTAAACTCCAGCAATACCTACAACAGCAGCTGCTGAGAGGACTGCTGACTGTTCCACTGTGGAACAGGACCTGGAAGGGTCACAGTATGACCCAGAAAGAGCCAAAATTAATTGTGCACAGCCTTCAGAACTGACATGAGTTTGTTTTCCAGGTGAATATTACTGTCCAGTCCATAGCTGTTCAGTCTCTGCATGGAACAAGGACCTTACTGAGCAGCAGTGATGTCCTCAGGCTCCCGAGGATTTTGGATGAGCTGTGCATAAATGCTGTTCTTGGGGTAGGTACAAAAGTCTTTTCTCCTCACATTTGATGGAAAGCATCAAATCACTTTGATTCACAAACTGCAGAGCTGTCAGGAAGGCCCTGAAATTTCCATGTATTGTGACATCTCCAAAGCAAATGTCACAGGAGAAACACCAACTTTGAGATAAAAGAGAGAGTTTTGCAGCCAGCTAAGAGCTGCATGCAGCAGAGCATGGAGCCAGGCTGGAACCTGTGTCTGGGGGTGCAGTGAGTTCAGAATCAACACTCTGCTCAGGGAAAGATGACTTCAGGCACACTGATGGCACAGAGAGAGGAACAGATGCTGCACATCATCTCCTCTTCTAATCTTAAGCAGATGAACATTGTGTTTATGCTTGGAAGAGGTTAATCAAGAAGTCAGTTTGCAAGAGGCTCTGGGGGATGTAATCTATCCTCACCCTGTCGCTGAGTCTCTTAAGCAAAGAAGAAATAAAATACTTGCATAGTTTTACATTCCTTTCCTCCCCCCTTCGTTTCTCTCATGTGTTTGCTCCAATTAATATCCAAAATGTTTAATTTTCAGGTGAGTTATCACATTACCTACACCGACACAGGAGAAATAATAGAAGCAGCTGCTGCTTTTGTCTTGGGGGCAATTAAGAGAGAAGCACACTCAATACAGCAGAGCTTCGAAATCAGCTTCACTCAGGTAACTGTGGAGATGTTATGGGTGACTTGTTGAAAGACATTTAATTACCAAACTTATTAAACTTGAATCAGAACAGTTGGGAGCAGCGAGGGAAAACAGAACCTGCCCTGGCTGCACAGAGGAGGAAGCAGTTCAGGACTGGACAATAAAGGCTCCAAACTGTCACATTTACAAACCTCATCTTGTGACTCTGTGCCCAGAGACAGCAAGGCCTGCCCCAGTGCCAGGGAGCTGCTCCCAGGGCAGTGCATCATCCTAAGGAACTGCAATCTGTCTGTGCTTTGCAGCCATTTCAGTGCAGGGGGAGAGCTAACACTCTCTGTTTGCATTGCAGGCAAATACGGAGCCAGTTCCTCTCAGTGGCAATCCTGGTTACGTTGTTGGGCTGCCTGTAAGAGCAGGATTCCTGCCCAAAGGATATCCTTTCCCTGCTGGAGCTGCTGTTTGCAGCACTTGTTCTGGTCCATCCTCATAAACCCTTTGTGGACATGCATAAAATAGGTCTGTTCTCTACCAAAAATAGAAGAGTGGGTTTGGGGCTGCGTTTTAGAAGTAGGGAGTGAGTCAGTCCTGACTACAATCTCCTGGGACTGCTGAGTGAGGTGGATTCAGCCCTTCACTGCACACTCTGGTGCCTCTTCACCTGGGAGAGAAACCTTGAGCCCTTACAGCACTTGGAGCTGTATTTTAGGGCTATGGCTTAGGACTCTTGTCATTGATAACATCGAGCACCGCGTTTCCCTTTAACTGTGTCACATCTGGCATCACTCAGAGCACCAAGAGGCTTGGCCAGCTGACTGTTGTGCAGAGTGTCTCCAACCAGGACTGCCTGGCAGCACGGGGGGCCAGGGCCCCAGTGCTCTTTGGCTACAACATGGTGTCAGGCTGTAAGCTAAGGTAAGAAGTCACTTGAACTTGGAGCTTTTAACCCTCAGACAGCCCTGGGCTCTGACCAGGCCCTGGGCCATTCCTGCAGCTGCAGGAGTGTTGGGAATGGGGTGTTTGATTATCAGGAATGTCATATAACTAACAATGGTCTTTCTCTAGCAAAGACTGTGTACATTAGCAGCTGTAGAAGGCTTGAGCAGGGCATGGGAGCAGGGGGAAAGGGTTGTGCCAAACCAATGGATGGTGCTGTAACTCATCCTTCTTTTTGCTGTTTTCTGGAAGAATCACAGCAGCTATGGAATGTCAGCCTTTGGCTCAGACCCTGCTGGATATGCTGAAGGGCCAAAGCTTTCCGGAATTCGTGGCCTCGTTTGGAAACTCCCAAGCCCAGAATGTGCTTGACTGGGTGCCAATAACTCACCTCCACATCTCAGAGCAGGTGAAAGTCACACCACTGCCATCTCCCCTCTCACTGCCTCCTCTCACAACATCTGTACCTGGGATGCAGCATCAGCTCAGGCCTCTCAGCCTAAAAATCCAGAAACCAACTGGAGCTAAAAATGGGGGGAAAATGCAGAAACAGATGGGAGGAAAGTCCTGGAATACTCACAGACCAGGAGTTTCACTTGTGGAGAAGACAGGGTTTATTTTTAATCAGGCTGGTGTCCAGGCCCCTCAGATATGGATCAGGATAAGCTCTGGGGTACAAAACGAGTTCCAGCCACAGTGTGGAGTCTTCCTCTTCAGAGGGGATGAAGCACAAGAGGACAGGTTGAAAAAGTGAAGTAACACGATCAGTGTTTCTCCTCTTACACCAGGTTAGGGGAAGACAGCAAGAACCCTCTGAAGCATGATGTAAGATGACACCTTGTGTACACAGGTTTCTTGCTTTTGCAGCCAGAGAGTGAAGGATTTCTGTAACCAGAAAAGTGACAGTTCAAGAAGAAACACCTAAAAACAGTTAAGCTTGTAGCCTCCAAAATTCAGGATTTTCTACTGTCCCAGCAGGATGACTAAACTTAGTCTTCCTGCCAAAAAGAGCAAGCTCAGCACATCAGCCATGAGGCAGAGTCCTCCCTCAGCGAGGACAGTGCTGCTCAGTGCAGTCACACTGTCACGTGTGGAGCCTGCAGGGACAGCCAAGCCACAGCCCCCTGTGCCCCCTGCCCAGCACAGGGCCTGGTGACCCCCCAGCAGCTGCTGGGGGCATCCTGCCCCTGACAGGCTGAGCATTGAGTGTGGTGCCTTCTGTGCAAGGCAGACAATGAGAGGATTTGTCCCACTTTGCAGAGCTCCTGCCAGATCCCTGTGTCACTTGGGATAGAAGTGAAGTGGACCAAGTACGGATCCCTGGCCAATCCCCAGGCCAGGATAGTGAATGTTACGGCAACCATCACCAGCACCACTCTGGAGCAGGTGGGTAATTACACCAGAGACTTAAGAGAAAATAAATGCCTTGTTTTCCTTAGCTCTCAGCCTGTGACACTGACCCAGATAATCTCTTTATCTAAAGCAGCACTTCACAGCTCTCCTCCAGCTCCAGCACAACTGTGGCTGCTTGCCAAAACACACTTCAGTAAAAATCTATACATCATTTATGAAAAGAAACATGGAGCTGTAAATGAAAAAAACACCTCTTTTACAAATAACAGCTGAAAATATAACCCAGGCTGAATAAAATAGTTGTACACACACTAATGCCTGTTTGTATTTTCATTGCAGCTTCCCTCAGGAAAGGAAAGGACTATTGCTGTCACAAGTTCTGTTGTGTTCACTGACATTTCCTCACCTGCAGAGCCAGGCTATAAAGCTTGGCCCACCATAAACATCAAGTTACCCTTTGATTTTTTCTATCCATTTGTCTAAGGTAAGTATACATCAAAAAAAAAAAAAAAAGGATATTTCTGCTTTTCCCTATTTTCAGTCCTTAGTTTATCCAGTTACTGTGATGGACCATCAGTGTCTTCTAAACTGTAGCTACACTGGGCTCAAACTGGCCAAGAGAGAAAGGGTGAGACCTTGGGAGGGTTCTCAGAAGTGTCAGGGGAGAAAACCAAACCACATCAAGTGGAAAGTTCCCAGTTACAGCTCTGCTGAGAGGAAGGAGTTTGCAGTGTGGGTGGCTCTGGCTGCCCAGCAGCACGTGGGCCCAGTCCCAGCTGCCTGCCCAGCAGTGTGGGGCAGAGGGGAGGGAGGAGCACGGGGACAGCTCCCCAGGAAAGGCTCCAACAGCACAGCTAAAGGGCTAATTAAAGCAATCATCTGCTATTAGACAAGGGCTCTGCTTTATCTCTTTTCATAGATGAATAAGCCACATATTTCTGGCTATTTTCCCCACACCACTAATTAATTACCTTTCTTTAAAGAGCTGAACAGTTCAGTCCTGCTTTCAGCAAAGCTCCATGACCCTTCCAGCTGGCTCTGGCTGAAATCTGTTGGAGACACCTGCTGCAGTCCACACCTTTCAAATCCCCACTGACTGAATCCTGCTCCTCAGCTACCCAACAGCCTCTCCACAGGGACCTCCCAGTACCTGGAAACCTTCACACTGGGGTCACACACCAACCTGGTCCTTCAGAACTCGCTTTCTAATGGCCTTTCTGGGGTCTGGCAGCTCCCAGCAGTGCCCTCACCTACAGCTGTTCCTGCACACTGCAGTTCTTCCCCAGGCTGATTTATGAGCTGTGGAAACAAAGAGCTTTGTGGCCCAGCTGGCTGTGAACAGCCCTTCAAGTGGGAGAGGAGAGACTCAGTATCAGAGCTCAGATCTCAGGTCACACATTGGCCTCTATTTTGGGGCTGATGTGATTGTCAAGGGAAGGAGTGGCATGTTGGGGCTTTGGGGAGGAAAGTTTTATAAATAACAAAGAGGCACAAGCAGCAACAGAAATGAGGAAACTACCAACAAGACGAAAAGAATGGTTGGCAAAGAGATCTCCTGATGAGCAGTCAGCTGGGAGAGGAGGAATGACCTTCTCAGTATCATTTAGACTCTATTTCCACAAGATGTTGCAGACAAAACATTATCACAGAAGAAACCCAACTTGTTTTAAATCAGTGGTACTTTGTGGATGTAAAGAGGTGTCTTTATTAACTTATTCTGCACTTTTGACTGTACAACTGTACAAGAAAGGAAAATAAATTGCTTTTTACAGGGACTGTGTGTGATTAATTTTCTGGTTTTGCTATCCCAAGGTCTGATTAAAGTCTGGGCAAATAGAAAATGTTTATAGACAAGACAAGAGGAAGCAAAGAGACAGAAAAGCCTTTCAGGTCAGGCTGGTGCATTCCAACACTGCACTTTGCAGGCAGAATTCCCACCTTGGCAAACTGGTCTCCTACTTGAGCTCCGTGAGGAGTCCGTGCTGCCGTAAGATGTTGGTCAGTCTCTCAATTTCTTGCTCCTGTGGGAGACCAAAGTCAAATCACCACAGAGCTCTTACCTTAAAATAGCTTCCTGCAGCCATTCCCACTGCTGTGATGTGTCTCCTGCTGCAGGAGGAGGAGAGCCTGGCTGCAGGAAGGAGGACAGAGGTGGACACTGTTCTGAGGGAAGGGCAGGCAGGGCCGTGGCTCTCCAGCCCAGCTCACCCCACACCTGGTGACCAGGAGACCAAGGCAGCAGTGCCAGCCTTGCCCAGGGACCAGCAGCCAAACCCTGTGGAACCCAAGGGGGTTTCTTACCTTCTCTACACAGCTGTGTTCCAGCTGTTCCACCCTGGTTGCCAGTTTGAGGTTGGCTTGTTTCAGCTTGGACACTTGTTGCTCCGAGCGAGTCTTCACCGATAAGATTATTCCTGTGGAACAATTCACAGTGGGTTCGTTTGAGGCTGTGGAACAGTCACGAGCAGGAGGTGAACAGCACACACAGTCTGTGCTCAAGGAGTTAAACATGTTCCTCTCCAGCTCAGCTTCTGTCATCTTCCCACCACACTTCCCTGGTGCTTTTCTTAATGAGGAGGGTTTCAGGCAGCCACCCCAGGGATGTGGGTACCCACACTCAGCTGGGACAGCCAGTCTGGCCCTGAGCTGAGCTGATCACTCAGACCCTGAACCTCAATGTGCAGAGCCTGGAGAGGAAGGAGGTGGCAGCTCTGGTGTGTTTTAGGTGCAGTCAGGGCCTTGCCCTAGCAGCAGTGCACAGCCTGGGCCCAGGGCTTGTCCCCCCCTGGGGCTGGCTGCTCTGTCCTGCTGGAATGGCCCCATGGGGTGGATGTGGCACATCCTCAGCTCTGTAGGGTTTGGCTTCACCTGGCTCAGCTGCAGTGAGGGCACAGTGTCTCATCCCAGCGCGGAGGTGGCAGCACTGCTAGGCTGGGACAAGTGAACTCAGCCCCCACACTAGAGGCAATTTCTTCCCACCCTTTTATAAGGGAGACAAAAAAACAAACCCCAACCAGCAGCTTGGTGAGAGCGTGGAGAACATCAGGCTCTGCCTCCCCAGCAGCTGCTCTGGCTGAGCAGACACTGAGACATGGCTGGGCTGGGGGAACTGGGCTGGGCTGGGGGAACTGGGCTGGGCTGGGGGGTCAGTTCCCAGAGAACAAAGCAGCCACTGCTCGTTGGCATTGCTGACATGCAGCAGTTCCTCCCGGGCTGTATCTGGCTGCTGTCAGCAGCCACGGGCAGCCAACCGTGCCCAGGTCTGTCCCCTCTGCTCCAGGGTGACATGGCACAGAGCCTGGGGCACACCAGGAGCACCCAGGGCTAAGGGGATTCACTAGGAAACACGGTCCTGGTTTTCTGCTGAAAATGAGGCTCTCAGGGCTCACACAGCTGCAGACAAACCAGTTTCTCTCTGACTTTCACTCTGAACTAAGAAGAGCCACAAGCTGCTCTCACATCTTTCCTCTTTCCAGGTGCTGCTGCTGGTCAGGCATGTTCTCCCCATCAAAAGGGAAGTGATGTACAACAGTCTCAGTCATCCCTTCCCCTGGTCCCAGCTGGGTCAAGTACAGAGCACTCACCAAAGGTGAGCACTAGGCACGGGACACTGATTGGAGGAGTTAATCTCATTGCCACGTTTTTTTGGAATCCCCAAAACTCCTTCTCCAGGGAAGGAAGAAAACATTTCCAGCTCCACTTGTTTCAGAACTATCTGAACTGACATCTCTTTGCAACAATTTACAGCAGCAAAGCCACTGAAGTCTGTCTGGTTCAGAGATATTTTACATTCCTCTTTCTATGGTTAAACCCTTTGAATCCCCAAGCAAGAAAGATCCAGAGTGAGATCAGGACATTCCCTGCAGCATCCCTGGAGGGGATGGCTGCAGTCACAGCAGAACAGAGCAGGAAAAACTACTCTGCCACAGAAGCAGCTGCAGGAAGGAAGGAGGTTACCCTACTCCTGTGTTAAAACACTGCCAGAAGGGAATTTAGGATGGGAACCATTCCCTCAGGGAGTGAGGGATGCAGGAATAGATTAGAAGGTGATTTTAGGGGGAACTGAAAGATTCCAGCAGCAGATTATCACTGCTCCAAAGGAGCTCCAGCCACAGAGGTGAAATTGGGAGGAGGGTTGTTCCCTTCCCAAGCCACCTGGAAGGCCCCAAGGGCCTTCCAGGTGGCTTGGGAAGGGAACAACCCTCCCAGGAAATTGAGGCAAGGTCAGCACATCCATCCACTCACCGTTGATGATCCTGGCCACGCGCCACAGCCGCAGGAGGATCAGGAGCCCAACGGCGTCGAACTCGTTCTCGTGGAAGATGAGGACAACGTCAAGGATGAAGGACACGATGACGACAACCCCATCCATCACCTCGAACTTGTGATGGAAGAACTCCCAGTGGTACACGAAGACTTTAAACCCCACCTCGACCAGGAAGATGGTGAGAATGGACAGGGAGAGGTAGTGGAAAACCTAGAGGAAAAGCAGCACAAGTTTAAGTGTGCACAGAGCAGGGCAGGGTGGAAAATTCCACTGCTTGAGGGCATGGCTGGTTTGGGTCTACAAAGGAGGAGGACTGGGGACTTTTCTTCTGCTGTAAAGGACAGCCAGGAGCATGTGGCAGTTGGTGGTGTTGGGAAATTGGTCCAGGAGGTGTGAGAACCATGAGGAGAGGAGGGTGGTGAGGGATTGAGCTCTGCTGCAGCCTGGGGGAACATGAGGCTGCTGCAGGGACTGGCATGAGCCAAGCCAGGCTGGTCTTGCCTGAGAGACTCTCTATGTGCTGTGACCACCAGCTCAGGGCCAGGTCTGCCTTGTCCAGCCCAGCCAGCCTACCCAGGAGCTTTGAGCCACTCAAGGGAGGTTGATTGCTCTTCGTGGAGATTTTCCCCACACTTTACCTTCGGGGTTATGTGGTATTTGTCCGGGTGGATGATTTTCAAGTCCATGAGCAATTCCCCGAGAACCAACAAGGCATCCACGATCACCAGGCAGACAACCCCAATCTGTCCAAGGAGAACAACCACTATGAACCCTCTCCCAGCACAGACAGAGCAGTGAGAGGAGCTGATGTGCCCCTTCAGCTAAACACACCCCGACGCTCACGGCTCCGA